TATTTTAATATCATAGATATATAAATAATTTTAATTGATTAATTATAAAAAATATATTTATTAAACTTTTATTTTCTTTTATAAAATACGAAAAGTAAATGGAAAAACCGGTAATGGTTTCCGGTATTGATTAGGTAGTGAGGTATGAGGAATATGGGAAAATTGTATGCACAGATACAATGCATGTGGGTTTGTGTTGCGTGTATTGTGATGTACCGAAATCACCATCCGCTAAGATAAAAGCCATCCTTTACAGTTCTTCCTATCCTCGTTTATTTTTTTTCCTTCATTTTTCTCTCTTCCTTATTTTTGCCCTATCTCATAGGGTTCCCAATGTTCTTTTAGCTCTGATCTCTCTCTCTCTCTCATGCATTCAAGTTCTCAACTTGCATACGGTGTTTTGGCTGTGATTATCGTTTCCGGGTCTCTCTTTTTTGCTCTCTTTGGAGGGTTTTTGGGTGGGGAATCCTGCAGATTTTACCTCCAGGGGCTTTTGGAGCTGTTCCCATGTCAAAGCTCTCTGCTTTCAGTGGTATGTTCTTCACATCTGATTCAATTCAGCTTTGATTTCATTATTTGTTGTTGGGTCTGTATCTGGGTGTTTATTTATTGTTGTATTCTCAACGTTGTTTGGTAGATTGGGTCTCATAGATTTGATTTCTGATATCAGCTTTTAATTTTGTGGATTTGTTTGATGATTTTAGGATATGTATATAGTTTGTGGATGACTTGATTAGAAAAATATGGAAAGACGGATTTAATGTTTTTGGTAATGATTTAGGATGATCTAGTTGAACAACTTTAGCCTATTTTAGGTAGATCCTTTGTGTGCAAACTGTTAAAGGGGTTTAAGATCTAGACTTGAAGATGTCTCTAGAAGTGATGAATGATGATTTTCTTTGTATGGATATATGAATTATTGGTCTGATTAGCCTTTTTTATCTGTGGATCCTATTTTGGTTTAGCTGTGATCTTTTGGAATCTGAGTTATACTGAAATATGTCTAATTAAAGATATGGTTATGGTTCTCAGGTAATGATGATTTTTGCCCTGGGGGTTCTATATACCCAAATCCCAAGGAGTCAAGCCTTTTCTTGCCCCTTAGTCATTATGTGGATGTTTGTTTGCCTTCTCGCAAGAGGTCCCGCATCAGTTCCCCATTTGTTTTCAGCGAAGAGAGGTTTGAGCAAAAGCAGACATCTATTGAAGTTCTCCCAGATGAGTGCCTCTTTGAAATCTTCAGAAGGTTGCCAGGAGGAGAGGAGAGGAGTGCATGTGCCTGTGTTTCCAAGCGTTGGCTTTCGCTTTTAAGCAATATCTGCAGAGATGAAATTAGTAACTTCAAAACCACCCAGGAAACTGAGGGTGAAGATCAGGATGTTGAGGGTTATCTTTCCAGGAGCTTGGAAGGAAAGAAGGCAACTGATATTAGACTTGCTGCTATTGCGGTAGGAACTGCCAGTCGTGGAGGATTGGGGAAGCTTTCTATTAGAGGTAGTCGGGGGGTGACAAACCAAGGTCTGAAGGCGATTTCTCGTGGTTGCCCCTCTCTGAAGGTGCTTTCCTTGTGGAATTTGTCTTCCATTGGAGATGAGGGTCTATCCGAAATTGCTAGTGGATGCCATCAACTTGAGAAACTTGACCTTTGCCACTGTCCCACAATCACTGACAAGTCCTTGCTTGCAATTGCTAAGAATTGCCCAAACTTGACTGATCTGACAATAGAGTCTTGCTCAAACATTGAGAATAAAGGTCTGCAGGCTATTGCACAGAGCTGCCCCAATCTAAAGTCCATTTCAATCAAAGATTGCCCACATGTCGGAGATCAAGGAATTACTGGCCTGATGTGCTCTGCTAGTTATTCTCTGGCCAAAGTAAAGCTCCAATCATTGAACATCAGTGATGTTTCTCTTGCTGTCATTGGATGCTACGGAAAGGCAGTTACTGATCTTTTCCTCGCTACCCTCCCAAATGTTAGTGAGAGGGGCTTCTGGGTCATGGGTAATGGAAATGGGCTGCAAAAATTGAAATCCTTCACAGTTACATCATGCCGTGGAGTAACAGATTTGAGTCTTGAAGCTGTAGGAAAAGGCTGCCCAAATTTAAAACAATTCTGCCTCAGAAAATCTGCATTCATATCTGATAATGGTTTGGTTTCCTTTGCTAAAGCAGCAGGGTCACTGGAGAGCTTGCAACTGGAGGAATGCCACAGGATCACCCAATTTGGGTTTTTTGGTTCCCTTTTAAACTGTGGTGCCAGGTTGAAGGCTCTTTCTCTGGTGAACTGCTTGGGATTCAAAGATTTAAGCTTTGGATTGTCTTCTCTATCGCCTTGTCTGTCCCTTCAATCATTGTCCATCCACAACTGCCCTGGATTTGGTGATGCTAGCCTGGCAGTGTTGGGGAAGTTGTGCCCTCAATTGCAGCAGTTGGACTTCAGTGGGCTTCCTGGAATAACAGATGCTGGCTTTCTTCCATTGCTTGAGAGCTGTGAGGCTGGTCTTGTGAAGGTTAATCTCAGTGGTTGTGTGAATTTGAGTGATAAAGTTATTTCTTCCATGGCTGGACTGCATGGTTGGACTCTTGAGGTGTTGAATCTCAATGGCTGTGGGAAGATCAGTGATGCAAGTTTGGTTGCAATTGCTGAAAATTGCATGTTGTTATGTGATCTTGACGTGTCAAAGTGCGCAATCACTGATTCTGGAATTGCATCTCTCTCTTGTGCCAAGCAACTCAATCTGCAGATCCTCTCCTTGTCAGGTTGCTATATGATTTCAGACAAAAGTCTGCCTTCTCTCGGAAAACTTGGTCAGAGCCTCCTGGGATTAAACCTGCAGCGTTGCAATGGAGTTAGCAGCAATGCAGTTGATATGCTCATGGAGCAGTTATGGAGGTGTGATATCCTTTTCTGAGCAGTTTCTGAACAGGAAGGGTAGACCCTCCAAATAACAACACGTGAGGTTTGAGTCTCGTGATGCCTCAGACTAGTTTTGTGAGTGATAGCATTATGTTTAGTTTTTGGGTCCATCTGCTATGGGTCTTCTGTCATCCAGTGCTCAGTCCCCTTTTCCAGGGAAATATGGCCATTCTATCCTTCTTTTTTTTTTTTTTTGCAGATTTCCATTCAACAGAAATCTGTTAATACATTTTGCCCAACAAATGGGCGTTGGTTTCTTCTTGGCCAAAATCCCTGAGAACACAGTTACTGGGTCTTGAATTTTAGGGCATGTTTCTTTGATTTTAGCTTTTTTATGTTGCTGGGTGCTAGCACCTGGTGTTTTAGCTTGGTCTTGCCAACTCATCTTTGGGCTAAGCTTTTCTTCCTTCCCTCAGTCCTCTCACTACGAAGTTGGCAGTGTTTCCACTGGTTCTTCACGTGATAGTTCGGTCCTCTGTTTTGCTCAAAGGGTAGGTTGAAGTCTTCACTTCCACCATGCTTTTCACAGTCAAGAAGTTTTGGTGCCTCGCTTTTCATGGGCTTTGGCCATGGCAGCAATTTATAGTGTCTGTCATTACAACTCCTAAATGAGTTGTTTTTTTCACCAGGCCCCAGTTTTTGCAGGTTTCATCTCTTCTGATCTGTGCTCTGTAACACTTCTACCACGTAATGAGATCAATACCTAACCCTTTGAAGTATTGTATGTTTTTGTTATGAAGATGAATAAAATCTCAAGACTTTTTATGTATGTCGAGGATTTGTTGAATCATGAATGGCTATTTCTTGATAATTTAACTTAATTAAGAACTGCATAAATCTTGAAAATGGGTTCTGAGGAGATGTTATTATATTGAAAAGAAATCGGATGTGGTTGGAGGAGAATCAGCTTCAGGTGGAAACATATCTTTCTGTGGTCAACCATCACATTCATAGAAAGCTTTACTTGATTTGATGCAGATTAATCAAAAGAAGCCACCAAAGTTGATGCTTTCCCCAATACCCAAGTGAAATCAATAGTGAAGGTAAAATAAATGTGGATTGATTTTTGTGAAGTTTTATCATTCCAAAACAAAAATCATGTCCTAAAACCATTTAATTTACAAGATATGGGTCTTTCAAATTCATCTGAAATTCATTTCATTAGCAACAAAAGCCGAGCCAGCTCGAAGTATCGTGACCAGAAATGAGATCTCTTGATCTGTTTTAGCTTTGCAGAAGTAAGAAAACAAAACAAACCTCCATCAAATCCCCTTCTCTGTTCTCTCAACACATTCGATGGCGTTTTCAGCTCTTTCAATTCATCATCAAAATGGGATTAAAATCGTTGTAATTTAATTAATTAAAAAATTTATCACTCTACTTTCCTCTCTTCTTTTTCTTTTTATTTACAATAATTTATAATAAAATCATAATACTTTATTTATTTATTTTCAACAATTAAAATTTATCATGATTTTTAAATAAAAAATAATTATAAGATTAAAGTTCCATCTTCTATACCTAATAATACCAAAAATAAACAAA